CAGCATGTTTGCTTAAGTTTCAGCCTTCTAAGGACGAGACAGTTATCCATGAGGACAGCAGCACAGGGAGAAACATTGAATTGCCCTTGGGGATATGCTTTGCCTAGTTTTCAGCATCCTGAATGATACACACAGTCTTACTAAACTGAAAGGCGTTTTCAGACACACAGCATCAGGAGAGCTTTTCCACCAGAGAACCACCACCAAGAGCAGTGCAGAACAGAAACTCTGCCTAAGGGTCATTTGTTCTAGTGAGAAACAGACAGAATTCAGTCACTGGCTTCTTCTTATGGTCCAGTGGGATGGCATTAAGGAAAAGTTTTAGAATTCGAGAGCCCCCTGGAAATAATCTGCTCTAGGCAGAAGAGCGGGACTGCAGCCAAGGCAGAATCAGAGAGGTGACAGAGTGCTGCATGATGGTTCCAGCCACAGCTGGGTTTGGCATCTAGAGTGCAGAATAGTGGCAAAGGGAATTTTAGAAGCCGGATGAAGAATTAGAGGGGCTTGACATGTTGCTATGAAGAAAGAAAACAAGTCTTTGAAATATAACTGTCAGAAACTTGTGAATTGACTCCAACACAAAATTTTTAAGTTTATGAAATATAATTATTTATCCACAACAAAGAAAAGGATTGCAAAACCCTTCTCTGGAAATGAAGAGGTCATAACAAAAATGAAGACAAATTGTTTAGTCAAAAAGTGTAAAGTCTCTTTTCCAACTTAACTAATCTTGCATTTTACTCAACTACTTTGAATCACATATTCAAGTAAAAATTTCATTTCTATAGAATCAACACAACAAAAAGCTAATCACAAAGAAACACCTGGACACTTTGGACAAATTTGGACTTCATAAATATTTAAATCAAACAAAATGCTGTTACAACCTCCAAAGAGTAAACTAGTATGATCACTCCTTGATCCCAACAACTCCCCTTCAGATTCTGTGACCAAAGCCGAGAGCAGAGAGTCGTGGATTTGGTTTTCTATATCAGAGCATTTGTACAAGTGGCATTAAGAAGAAATAGTCAAGCAAACATTGTTTCCTAAGCTCATTTTTCCATAAGTCAAAAATATTTAGCAGAAACATAAAACAAGATTTACACCCAGTAGGAAACTTTTTAAAAGTAATTCCTGAAAACTATGCTTATAACTAAGAAAATTTAGCTCTGAATAATTCTCTGCTCAGTTTTATAATTTTTTTTTAAAGAGAATCTTTTTTTTTTTTTTTGGGTAGATGGACACAACACAATGCTTTTTTTTTTTTTTAATGTGGTACTGAGAATCGAACCCGGGTCCCACCCGTGCTAAGCAAGTGCTCTACCGCTGAGCCACAATCCCAGACCTCTGCTCAGTTTTGATATATTGCCAAATGCCAATTTCACAAGTGGCACATGAATCAATCATAATACTGAATATTACAGAATCCTCAATTCAGCAGTTAACATTTTCCCTGCACATGGTTAAAATACCATTTAAAGGATTGATTCCAGTTGGCCAATGATACCAAAAACTTCCTAGGCCAACTGGTGATTAAATGAGACAAGAGGCACCCATTAGAAATGGAGTTCAATTCAAATACACAGAGTTAGTTGACAGAGCAATGTACTTGGGTTGATATGTTGGAAAAGTCAAGATCCTATAAATCGAGGAATGCCATCCGTGGCATTATATAAAAATACCTTAGAAAAGCCTTGTTATGTCATATAAATGTTAATAGGAAACTTGAGAAAGATTTCTCTGTGACCAAAGATTCAGATTCTGTGACCAAAGCCGAGAGCAGAGAGTCATGGATTTGGTTTTCTATATTCTATTTCTATATTTGGCTTCTGGCTCCTTATGACATCCCCTTTTCAGATTCTTTGCTGTAGAACTGGCCCACTGTTATTTCAATTATCCATCTTCAAGAAAACGGGAATTTTTATAAATCAGTCCTCTCTCCCCCATTTATTCAGCTATAAAAACCACCATTGTTTTGGTCTGATTTACCAAATCCATGTTTTCTGGCACAAATTATTCATAGCACATGAGATAGACTTGCACACTCCCCCTTTGGAAAGGGCTGTGCGCTGGAGTCGGCAGAGCGGGGGGAATGGAGCTGTGGGACTCCAGGCAAGCCAGTTTTTCATACTTCACCTTTCCCCACCGAGGGCCCTTCCTAGGTCAAAACGCCATAATTCTAGGCCTCGTTAGACACAGGCTGATTGCAGGCAGTAGCCTCTAGTTGTTCCCAGCCTTAGAAAGGGCAGCTGGCATTTCACAAGTGCTGGGCTTAGAGGGAAGAGGCTGGCTGCGCTGCTGCTGCTGGAATCCCAGGGGGCATTTTTAGATGGGAGAGGGGAGCACTGGCTATAAGCTGCTGCAGTCAAGACCCAAATGTCTCTAAAAGCAAGACCCTCTTCCATTCCTGAGGAGTAAAGAACCAGGAGTTTCCTCTAGTTTTCATCCATTCCCTCTCTCACACTTGAGAACCCACTTCAAACATTTCAGGGGGACCTCCATTAGTGCTAATGGCTCCTGAAACCACAAACGTCCAAAATGTACACAATGGCCTATCTTTTGACAATAAAAAGCATTTTAACTATAAACCACAGAGCATCTACATATCTTTTGTACACTTCTTATTGTTGTTCCTGCTCATAAGCAGGAACATACTATTTTTCAAATGATTAAATTTGATTCTTTTGGGCTATTTAACTACCAAACAAAACGCACACTTTGGGGAACAAGGTAGGTAAACAGACTCACAGATTGGCTATTCTAGTCAGAGCCAAGCAGTCAAAAGGTATAAGCCTTTCTTTTTTTAAATTTTAATATTTATTTATTTATTTTTTAGTTTTCGGTGCTGAGGATCGAACCCGGGCCGCACGCATGCCAGGCGTTCGCGCTACCGCTTGAGCCACATCCCCAGCCCGGTATAAGCCTTTCAAAGGTCCATTCTTCACGCTAATTCAAATAAGATGTCAAATATTAATTACTAAATAGGCTTCTTTCAACGTATGTTGACATTCAGTTTGAGACAGCTTCTGTGTAAATACTTCTCTCTCCAGCCATATGTAACAGAGTGGGACTCTGAAAAAGCCTGAGCACATTAAATATTTTATAATCTCTATTTAATTTGCAGGGTATAAAGTTAATCCCTGTCAGGTTGTAAAACCAATTGTCAAACTTACATAAAGGCTACCCAGCGTGGCAGAGTTCTTCCCGGTGGCTGGGTGCAATTATAGAGAGGGTTACAGTTAACTAACCAACCATGTACTCAGTCAACCCTTCCACTTAAGACACACCTTCTTCCAAACCCAGTAACCACTCATCTGGAGAAATGAACTCTATTACTTGTACTTGATTTCTTTAAAGAAAGATCCTAAGTTGCTGAGGGTCTTGCTAGATTGCCAAGTCTGTCCTCGAACTTGTGATCCTCCTGTCTCAATCTCCTGAGTAAAAATATCTTTAGAAAAAATTATAATATCTAAATTTATATGATAAACAGAGCTTTGCCAGTTCCATTGAGTTTCATATATGACATTTAGCTCCTTATTGACCCTCCACATATTTCTCCAATAAAGATGTCGGATGCAAAATTCATAAAGCCCAAATGGGAACCTGTTCTATCTGTTGAAGCAACTATTAGTGATATGTTCAGGTTTTTTTTTTTTTTTTTATCAGTTAGTATATCACCATTCTTATATTGGCATTAAAGATGAATCTGGATTTTTAAATTTTATCACATATTTTCTCTAAGACTTTTTAACATTTTTTTGGTACTAGGGATTGAACTCAGGGTTACTTAACCACTGAGTCATATCCCCAGTCCTTTTAAATTTTTTTTTAATATTCATTTATTTTTTAGTTTTTGGCGGACATAACATCTTTGTTGGTATGTGGTGCTGAGGATTGAACCCGGGCCGCACGCATGCCAGGCGAGTGCGCTACCGCTTGAGCCACATCCCCAGCCCTCCTCTTAAATTTTGAGACAGGGCTTTACTAGGTTGCCGAGACTGGCCCCAGTAACTGGATTTACAGGCATGTGCCACTGTGCCGGTTTAACTTTCATGATTACCTAAGGTTCAGCAGCAGTACTCTAAGTGCATCCCTCTTCCTTCTTTAGTGGATATTTGCTGATTAAGCCATTGAGAAGGAAAGAGAAGAAATTCCTTGTTGTACAAAGAAGGGAACTAGCAGACCAGGTGGTACGTGTAGCATGCCAGCTGTTTACATCTCTCTGACTTCTGAGAAATGATTCTATATTGGGAATTAATTACATGGATAAAGTCATATTCTTAGAATTGGGGATAAGCCTAGTACTTTAGCACAAAGAAATGAATGTCACATTTTTCAATTTCAAGTACAAAATTGTGCTGGGGATGGAACCCAGACTTTGAGCATGTTAGACTAGCACTTCACCACGGAGCCACAAACCCATACTCCATTCCACTTTTAGTCTCTCCTCTTGATTTATACTATAAGCTCAACAGAGTGTCACACAACATTTCGTACAAAGTCACTTTAGACAGTGCTACATAAATGCCTAAACACCAGTGCATTGAAACATGCCACATTGACACTTCTGGGAACTGCAGTAACTATATAAGGCTCAGCTATGTTCCAGAAATTTGCCCATCCTGAAAACAGCTTAATATTTTTTAAAATGTAAAAATAGTTATATGACCAAAGCGTCAGGGTGTGGATTTTCTTACTGCTCCCAGTATTAAGAAAAAATAATGATGTTCTATAATATGTAATATTTCAAATTTGATAGAAAGCAGCAACCCTAAATTCAGACATCCTCCTTCTGGAGACAGGGAAGTGGGAATATATTTCTCTTACTAAATATGGATCACAAAACAGACTCTTAATTTTCATTTATCAGTCATGATATGTAAAAGAAAAATATTTATAGAAACACAAAAAACAAAAACTCCTTTAAACTACATTAAAAACAAAGGTAAAAAAACAGAATAAAATCATTAGTACAAATAAAAATAATGTTAAATATCAATACTTACACACCAAAATGGACAGTTAGCATAACAAAGCTATCGAGTCCCTTAGGATGAGCAAAGCGCCACTGTGCGCCGCCCCTCCCCCCTCAGGTTTCCACCCTTTTCACACTGGGGTACCAGTGCAGGAGGCTCCTGGACGTGGCCAGGCGCGCGGCAGCTCCCAGGGCAGCTGTGGCTGTACTTCGAGGAATGTAGAGCTTCTGAGAAATCTTGTGCTCAGGAGACAAAATCAAAGACAGCTGGTCCATGGCTCCTTGACTCTCATCCTTGAACACTGCGATGGCGTGGCAACTAGAAAGATCTTCGTTCTTTAGGCTCCCTGGAGAGCTCTCCACTAAAAAAAGAGAAGACAAGTCTTTTCACTGCCCTCTCTCCTCCACTCTAGTTCTCTACTAACAGGTACTACAGTCATCGTCTGTTAGGTGATGACAGTTACCCAAGGCCGTCAGGGACGTTGAGATTCAGAAATCAGCTGCTAGACGGAAAGGAGAGAGGATGGGGAATCATACCTTGGGATCAAACTGTCAGGATAAAGAGAGGGGAAAATGCACTTATGAACCAGGCAGGGAAGACTGCTTTCCAAGAATTTCATAAAAGTAAACTCAGATCCCAGAGAAGAGACCATAAGCTCTCCCATTTCCTTCCAGCCCTGAGTAACACAGTGTACCACAGCGTGCCACAGGCGTGCTCTGTTGCCAGGTCTGTGCCAGTGTGAAAGCAAAATGGTTGCTAAGCAGAACCAGAGCCAGTTATCAGCCATAAAATGACTGTTGTAGGCTTTAGATTTAACTAAGAATCCTTTGGAAAAAATAAAACTGAGGGAGCTCCAATGCCCAGAGTTCCCAGTAGCTAAGGAAGCAGGTACAAGCATTCTCAGATGGGTGCTAGACCAGTGCTGCCCAAAGTAACTGGTCCATGACTGTTGACTGCCAGCTACTATGATTGAAGTGGCTTTTGTTGGTGTCCAAGCCAACCTGCTGCTTCCTTCAGGAAAGTCCTGCTTTTTAAAAAAAAAAAAAAATCAGGTGAGCTAAATAGTACTCAGCAATGCAGTGTAGATTCTGGCACAAGTTCTTTACTGTCTTGTCTATCATTACAAACATTTCACCGACTGCCACTTAGTTACTTGGGTTAGGTAAAGATTTCTAAATAGAACACACAAAGCTCAGATTATAATGAAAAAAAAAATCACTAAATTAGACAATCAAAATGTAAGCCTTTGCTCTTCTAAAGTCACTGTTAAGAAAATGACACTTAAAAAAAAGACATGACACAAACTGGAGGAAATATATATATATGCTAGATAGAGATATAGATCTGATAATGGATTTATGTCCAGAATAAAGAACTTGTTTACAAGTAGATAAATCAATATTAAAAACAAATACTTGGACAGCCACTTAAAAAGATATATGAATGTCAAATTAGGCAAAAAGGTGGTAAATAGGAAAAAGCAAATTAAAATTACCATAATAGGCCTGTAAGCAGGAAAATACCATCTGCTAGTGAAGATCGGAGCTATCAGAACTTTTAAACCTTCACAGGTGAATGCAAACTGTGCAGCCACTTTAAAAGCATTTTGGCAGTTTAAAAAATTAAACATGCAGTCACTATACATCCTAGCAAATCCACTTTTTTGTAAATACTGAATGGAAATAACATAAAAACTACAGTAAGTAGAGCTGAAGTGTGGCTTAGTGGCAGAGTGCTTGCCTAGCATGCATGAGCCTCTGGGTTCAATTCCTAGTATTGAAAAAAAGTTATGGTAAATAAAAGAAGCCAGACATAAAAACTACATACTATGTAACACAGGAAAGGGAAAGTGACATGCCAGAGCCTAGCAAGTTAGTGGAGGGATTGACTGCAAAGGGGCATAAAAAAACTTTTCACGATGGTGAGAATGTTCTATATGATTGTATATTTTGCCAAAACTCAAAAGAATCATAACCTTAAAAATTCATAATTTTTATTCTATATAAATGTGAAGTCCCTCCAAAAATCATCAGGGGGGAAAAAAGAATGGCATAGATAATGGGAACAACGGAGACAAATCCTACAGTCAGCAATGCTCAAGTATGTCCTGAAAGAGGAAAAGAAGGTTTTCAGCAACATGGCCAAATATCATCTGTCAGTGGCGAGCATACAGGAGCGCACGTGCACCTACCAGAACCAGAGTGCTCTCCTGGGGCGTCGGCCGCGACAGTAGCTGAGCTGGCTGCTGCTGTGGGCAGCTGAATTTGCTTTGTTGGAGTCTGGATGTTGTTAGGCTCAAACTGACTCCCTTCTGCTGACTGCTGTGACTGGAAAAGGGAGATGTAGAACTCTTCCAGTTTGGGCAGTGTGGAAGAATCCAAAGAACCTTTCAAGTTTGGTTGCTACAAAATAGAAGCAATGAGGCAAAGGTATGAAAAGTGACTGTTAGCATAACAAGAATTAAGCCCTTTTTGTTTCCTTATATACAAAATATATATCATAATTAATAAATAAAATACCTCACTTTCAACCTAGGTAGTCTCTAGAAACATCAAGCTCTTCCTTCCTTAATCTGATGAGTATCAACTTAAGAAACCTTTATTATATTTGGGCAAACATGGTACGAAGCGACCACACACAGCTGGGGAGGATGGGCAGGATGTGAGAAATGACATTCACTGCACACTTGATGTCTGGCACTGCGGAAGGTTGTTTGCATGTGTTTTTTTCATTTAAACATCAAGAACCACCTTTCTAGGTAGGTGTAATCTTTCACTTACCCTAATGCTTTTCATAGAGGAGTTATCTGATGTCCATCATTCTCTGCAGATGGGAAAACTGAAGCCCCCAAAGATAACTTGTGCTTTACTGGCTAGGGAGATCGAGATTAGCCTCAAACCCTAATCTATATCCCCTTAGCCAGTAAAGCTGCCTGCCACTTTAGGCCTGGACCTTTTTTCCTGTGCTGGATGTAGAAAATGCCTTCCACTAAAATGCTAGCAGAATATGGGACCCACCTCCTGTTCTGAAATCCTGCTGACTTGTTTGTTCCCAAGGGCTTTCAGGCAGGTCTGAAGGGATCACAGAGGATCTAATAATCTGTTTACAAATCTCCTTCAAGTATTGGCCAAGTCCTAAACTGCACAAGCAAAGTGTGAGATTCTGAGAAACCCAACAGGAAACAGCAGCCATGAAGCTAAACAAGATCAGCAGACACTTCAGCATCCTGTGGTGGGGTCAGAGTCCCTCCCAGGTGGGGATCAAACAACCAACTAGGCTTTCAGAAGGCCTGCTCAAAGGATGACGCTTTAGACCAAGAGCCACAAAGGATTAAGAATACAGCATTCTAACAAAGCCCCAACCAAGAATCAATGTGTATGCTAAGGTGATTTGCTAGTATCTGCTAGCCAAATGACAACAACCTTCTTTGGAGGAAAATAACTTAACCCAGAGCTTTTTAATTTTTTTGCATAATATCCAACATTTGATTTGAAAAAATCATGAGATATGCTTCCTTCTTCCCTCTACCCCATTGCTAAAAACAGGATTAGACAGAGAGGGAAAAGAGAGTAAGAACATAATCAGAGGCAATTCAGATATTCAAACTATCTGAAAGGGACTTTAGCATACCATGATTAACATGGCCAGGATTAAATGATAGACCAAACACACCAACATATGAAAAATATAAACAAAATGTATAAAAAAAATCAAATGGGCATTTTCAGACTGAAAAATAATGTCTAGAATGCTCCAGAATGAAGCACTGCCAATCAAAACAAACAAAAAACAAACAAGATAAGAGAGCCCCACAGGAGATTCAGTCAGAAGTTCTAGCATCTTATAGCTGAATTTCCTCAGGAAAGGAGAAAGACAATAAGCAGCAGAAACAGCTGTTAAGATAAATGGGCCCCAAATTTCCAGAACTGAAGAACGAGCAACTCTGGTGAATCAAAGTGGGATAAATCCAAAGGATCTATTTATACATTCAGACATATCATCGTCAAAGAGCTGAGATGCAAGTCAGAAAGAAAAGAAGACATGATCTTCAAAGGTGCAATGATAACTCACATTTCAACAGAAGCCAGAATACAATGAAATGGCCACTTCAAATAGTTGAAAGAAAGTGCCAATCTAAAATTCCACACTTAGGGGAAAAATTCATCAAAAGGAAGGTGAAAAAAAAATCCCCAAAACCCAACAAAAACTCCTGAGAAGATTTGCTGATAGCAGACATACACTACCAGAAACAGGAATCAGGAGCACCAGGAAGGCACACATGTGGTCAAACATATATGAATCCTGAGTGCTTAAAAATACGCCACCATGTGCTGAATTATACTATAGCAACACAGAACACCGGTCAAAAAGAAAGACTTAATAATTACTTTTTTCTATGGAGAAGAAAATTAAGACTTGCTCACAGATTTCAGATGAAAATTCACACACACACACACACACACACAAAAAAAAAAAAAAACAAAAAACAAAACCCCAAACCATAATTATGTAGGTAACTGTCACAAATTTCTCAATCACCCTCTGGAAGGCCCCAAATAAACTTACTTTTGACTAGATTTCAACTTACTGTCACAACTCTACTACTTCCATCCCCATGTTGGAGCTGGGCTTTCTCCCTCCTTCCTTCTCAGGTTTAACCAGGTACTCCAGGGCCTGTGCAGCTGTCCCATCATCCTCAGAGGCCTTTGCTGCTGCTGTCCCATCTAGGCTGTTATGCCCTTCAAATTTGCTTCTTGGTCTATGAGGAGCTCCTTGGCAGGAAGGGTGATGAGGACAAGTGTTTCTTTTGAAATTCTTGGTGGGCCACTTACACCACATCCTTGAGCCCTGGCAACATTCTACTCACTCCTGAAGCCCCCTCTAAACATGTGGGAGTGCACCATTCTCTCAAATGCCACTAGGGACCCACCAGAAATCTGAGGGTAGCTTCAGGTTGCTCTCATATCGTGCAATTGTGTCTAATGTATACCTGGTCCACTTCATACCCCTGTGAAAACTCTTTTGGGAGAACTTCTGGGGAAGAAGTTTCTACAAACACCCTATATTCACCTACTCAGTCACTCTCATGACAGGAGGGCTTACCAGTTTGGTGAGTTGATAGAAGTCTGACAACTACTACTCCATATTTCCTTGCTGGGCAGAATTCGTGTACTAAAGGTTACTACTCTAGTATGGGCCTAGCTCTCACTGCTTGACTCATGGGTCAATAAGGACAGGGTGGGTCTCTGCTTCCTCTCTCCCATGCCGTCAGCAGAATGAAGTTGCTCTGCTTGCAGCTGGGTGAGTTTAACTCAGAGAAAAGAATAGTCTGAGGTCTAAACTATTTTTCCAAATCCAAATTTGCTATGAATGAAGCTAGTTTTTTAATCCTCCTGTAGACTGTTTTCATGTGAGTAAAACAAGGTAAAAGGCAGAAAAATGAGGATAGATATGCACAGGACATCCAACCCCAAAGAGTTACTGAGAACAATAAACACATGACAACGTACCTGCTGCTTTATAAACATTTTACAAGTACAGAGACCTTTGACATTCAAAAGGATGCATAGCTGAGGTGGTACTCGACGGCCTGGGCCACACTGTCTGCGTTTAAATTCCAGCTCTGCACTCACTAGTTTTATATCACTCACCTAATTTCTTTAAGCCTCAGTTTTGTTATCTATAAAATAATAGTGTTTGCCTCACAAGCTTTCTGTGAAAATTGAGTTAACATAGACAAAGGCCTTAGAACTGTGTCTGTTATTATTATTCTAGAAGGACATTCAAATAGAAGTATCCTTTTACAGTTAAAGAAAAAGGGCACAGCACAAGCCAGACATCAGCAGCTAAGTGCTGGAATTGGAGTTTTCAGGCTTCAACTTTTGATATGCAAGATACTATTACAGTTTTGCACTTGTGTTCTAGTAAGCCAAGCAGAAACAAAAATCCGTAAGTTGTCTGCCAATGTAATACTCCAGAGTTGGTCTAAGCTTATGGTCCCCTCCCTAAAGACAATGTTTCTCATATTCTTATTTTTACAGCTCTTATTCATCATTGCTGTAAGTAAAGAGGATACAAAGACAAGATGCTTGTTGTGAATATACCTTCACTGAAGGCACATGGCAGAAATGGGAAAACCCTATCTTGACTATAGCCTCCCTATACTGAACAGTTTTGGTTTTTTTTTCCACCTAGGACTGAAACTAAGGTCTTGCATGTGCTAAACAACACACTCTCTACCACTGAGTTACACTTCCAGCTCCCTTTTCCTTTTTTTAGAGGAAAAGTTTTAAAATGTTTGATTTCCTCTTTCTTGATACTGGCAACAGTCTTAATTTTGCATCTCTTCCATTTTAAGAAATAGGTCTCCAGAGAGGAGCTCTTTTCTTCCAAAATATCCTTTTCCCATTCCATATTTTATTCCAACATTTGATCTTTAACCCCCCAGTATGCCCAAGATCAAGTTAAGCCTTATTTTGTGGCTAGAGATGGAATTGCTCGTAAGAAAAAACACTCCTGTAATCCCAGCAATTTGGGAGGCTTAAGCAGAAGGATCACAAATTCAAAGCCAGCCCTTAGCAGTTTAGCTCAGTGCTCTACCACTGAGCCACAACACCAACCCCTAAAAATATATTTTTTAAAAGTTAAAAAACAGTTCTATCTTCAAAATGATAAATATGGCAGGTACTCTGCTGTCTTAAAATAGGGATAGAAAAAAAAGAGTACAGAAAGTTTTCTCAAAAAGAAATAACACAAGTTTGTTCATTAAGTATAATAGCACTTAAGATGCTATTACACTATCACATGACACAGTAATGAATTACCTAACCTTTGACAATACTCTTTCTTCATGGGAGTTATAATGCTAAACAAAACTACATGAGAAAAAGTTTGATAACTCATGCTTCCAAATCACAAAACATATTAAAAAGCTAATATAATCAAGGTAATCAGTTACTGGTATAGCAATAGACACACAGAATTGAGAGCACAGAAATAAACATTTAAGGTCAATGGGGTTTTTAAAAAATATATTTTTAGCTGTAGATGGACACAATAACTATTAATTTATTTATATGTGATGCTGAGGATTGAACCCAGGGCCCCTTACATGCTAGCAAGTGCTCCACCATTGAGCTACAACCCCAGCCTTCAATCAAGTTTTGATATGGGTGCTAAGATAATACATGGGGAAAGAATATATAGTTCTGGGACAAATACATTTTCACATGCAAAAAAGTGAAGGTGGACTTTTATCTCACACCGTGACAAAAGTTTTCTCAAAATGGATTAAGGGCTTAAATTTAAAAGCCAAAACTATAAAACTCTTAGAACAAAGAACAGGTATTAATCTTTACAACCTAGGGTTAAGTAATGGTCATACATATGATACCAAAAACTC